TGAAATACCAACAACAAATCATTAATACATATATATAAAAGAAGTGGTTGAAGACTAGAGATCGAAATCAGAAAAAGAAAAAGGCTAACATTAAATGGTCTTCAATTTGCAAGTGGAATGTAGTTAGAGGTCAATTTTGACTTATTTATTAATTTTAAGTCACAGCTAAGGCTGAGTTCAATGTAATGCCATAAACCACAACATGTTTTTATTAAGAGTACTGTTCGTGTCTGCGAAGTTGCTTGTAATCAGAGATTTGGCTTAGACTTGATCTAATCCTGAGTCAATGGTGATAGAGACAATGTAATAAATGTTGAACGTTGACTAATAATTGTACTTTAAACAATAAATTATAGGAGGTTTCAACTGTTTAGATAAGATCATTAGACTAATCCTCTCCCGCGTCTCCATTGTGAATACACGTTATAATAACGTAATTATATAATTAATTTTATCATTATAACATTATTCTTATTCACATAAAATAATTATATTAATGTGAGAATCGAACTATTTATCACTTTCTCAGTTTCAATATCACATGCGAAATTCAATCTTTAATATATTATCTAAAAAATTTAGTGAATCAAATTCAAGACTTAGGCTTGATCTAATCCTGAGTCAATGGTGACAGAGACAATGTCAATAAATGGTGAACGTTGACCAATAATTGAAGCCTAGACTTTCCCGTGGGTCACTCATCTTGATACTATTCCAAGTTAAGCATGCTCAGAGTTCTGATGGATTCATGGCCATCACGGCTTTAAAACGCGTTGTGTCATAGAAGGGTGTTGAATCTACATATAGCACTTGCCCCATCCACACCCAGACGATGTGGAATTGTGCACCTGTAACTCGTCCAGTGTGGTAGTCTACTGGTGCCCTCTACACACGCTCACACCCACCCGCCCACAAGGTCGCCACAATCACCGGGGCATACAAACCCTTGGATGTGGTGGTGGGCCCCACCACATCCATAATCCAATGGCCCTCACTACCCCGGGGTATCATACCCCCGGGGTATTCAATAACTGCTCCTCCATTTTGAGAGTTCAAAAGTCTGATTGTATTTGACTGCATTTATATGAATACACAAGATAATAACATAATTATATAATTAATTATATCATTGGAACATTATTATTATTCACATAAAATAGTTGTATTAGTTTGAGAAATTTACATGCAAAATTTAATCTTTAAAATATTATCTAAAAAATTTAGAGAATCAAATTCAAGACATGACCTTATAACCAATTCTTGCTCCCTTGAAATAACTTGATTTTCTGAGTTGTTCATCCACAATTCATAGGGACATTTAATTGCCATCCTTATATATATATATGATCTTTCAAGTGTCCCATTTTGAGTATAGTTTTCAATCTCATCGAGGAACTTTGCTTTACCTTACCGGTTCATGCGTCCAGTGGATCACGTGAATATTTTTTTTGTGTTTAGGTGTAGCATGTGATAACCCAAACATCTACCTATTAGGTACAATTTATGATATACGCACGTCTTTAATTTAATTTCCATTATATAGCCCATCATTTTTCATTGTAAAAAATAACATCATTATAGCATAGTACTTGGAATATATTTTGTTTTGAAATTAATCTCTGCAGGTAAATATACGCACACATTTGCATATATATAATCATCTCCAAATCACTCCAAGGAGTAAATCTTTGAAGAGTTAAGAAATATTTTTTATTGTTACATATATTTGGTGATGGATTAATATTGATGGATGTATAATTTAAATATCCATAATTAAGGGAAGATTACTAAATTAACGCACTATTGAAATAAGCTCTGCAGATTACGATAAGGATTACAGATTGAGATAGGCTTTACAGATTACGATAAGGATTAAAGATTGTGATAAGGATTAAAGATTACGATGAGGATTAAGTCTACAGATTACAATAAGGTAATTCTACGTGACATCTTAACCTAAGCACTATAAAAAAAGCGGGGAATCAACGTTTTGAGGTACCCAATAAACCTTAACTCAATTTCTCGATTTCTCCAGGGAGATTATCATTCACACTGACTTGTTCGTCGGAGCCTACTTCACCGGTGTTCGTAGGATCACTTTTTCTTCTCTTTATTCAGGAAGTCAGATCAGATCCAGGTTGCGCAGAATCCATCATCAACAAATATTAAGATATATATATTTTTTCCTTTTCAGGTAAGTAAATGTTGAATTGATATGTATAAGCAATTTGTGCGAAACATGCAACGAACAAGATTTACCCAATCTAGCATATTGGAAGATTAACCCAGCTACCAACCAAAGAACACCATCATGTTCTCAGGTTTAAGTTTCACTGGAGGCCAAAAAAAAAAAATTAAAAAACAGGAGGAGGAGAAAATGCGTGAGTTTCTTGCCATTGTAAAAATAATATATAAAGTAAAAACAAATTGCCGGAAGTACTTGAGGTCAACCCATGTCAAAAATGATCAAATTCAACCCAACCCGAACCGTCCCCACCTCGAGCCATCGCCAACTCATCTACAAGCATAAGGTTGAAGTCTAAAATTTTGGGGTTAAGTGCAAAAAAAAACCCTGATACGGGTTTGTGCAGAACTAGTCCCTACTTTTGGAAAATGTGCATATTAGTCCATAAAATTAAAAAAATGTGCAAATAAGTTCCTCTGACCACTTTTTTACAAAAAGTAAAAATAAAAACACTATTTTACTCTTTTGATTCCCATTTTGCTCCTCACCCATATGTGCATTAAATCGGACATTGCTCATGTATTTCGGGTATAACCCATGGTTTTTTTTTTTTTCCCCCTAATATGCACCTTCTTTCTCCTCCTCCTCCAATCTGCAGCCGATGAGGGTGCAGTACCCTACATCGTCGAACTGCTCACCAAGCCTTAACACCCATCCAAACACCCCCAATTGCAAATGCGACCCAACAATTTCTGCAATTTTTACTTCAAATCAAAACCCCCCAATTTTATGCTCTTCAAACCCTAGGTCAAATTGTCCTCTATCTGTGCATATTAGATAATGGATTGCGATTAAAGATGATTAAGGGCAAGAAGAAAAATGAAGAACGGATGATGAAAAAGGGGTTGGGTGAACGAATATCTGCACCTCTGTATTCGTTCACCCAACCCCATATATATGTGTGTGTGTGTGTGTATATATATATATAAAACATGAAGAGATGAAATGAGAGAAAACTTGAAAGAGATGAAGATGAGATGAGAGTTATATATGAGGCTTCAATGTGTTTGATTGCTTGGGCGAAGCTTTTGTTGCTCATCCCTTCCTTACTCGCCGGTGAGTTGGACGAAGTGCTCACCGTCTTGGTTTTGGTGGCGAGGACTTCGTGGATATTTTAAGAAAAATTACGATAAGTTCTTTTTTTTGATAAGTGGATAAAAGGGTCATTTCTGTATTTATAGTTATTAATTTATTCAACTGAAGTGAGGGTATTATCGTCATTTTATACCACACAGGGACCTATTTGCACCAAATTGATAGTATATGGAGTTTTTTACTATACAGGGACTGTTTTGCATTATATTAATAGTAGAGGGGTTTTTTTTGCAGTTAAACCAAAATTTTGGAAAAATTGTATGAACAAGATTGATTTAGAAGGAATTTTAATTATTGGAAGGGTGAAACTTTATTGAGCATGTATCCATAGTAATAATTGCCATTAAAATCCTGCTCGATCATTTACCCTTCAATCAAGCAAGGAGAGACATCCAATATTCTTGTTGGTCTCATTCATTTGAAACCCTTCTAAGTGTGATCTGCTTTTGCACACCGGTGAGATTCACATGTACAGATCGAACACGGTGTGATTCATTGGAATTCATTTACCTTTATGTTTTTTTGGTTTAAACTCAAACACACTAAGAGTTAAAGACACAGCATAAATGGTTGGTGAAATGAACCAAACTAAGAAACAGTTGTTCAGTTAAAATGACAAGCTAATATATATATATATATATATATATATATATAATAAACATAACACATTGGTCAACAATTAGGATTAGGCATAACACATAGGTCAACAATTAGGATTTGGTCAACAATTAGGATTAGGCATAACACATTGGTCAACAATTAGGATTAGGCCATATACAGAAAAGGAAATTCAATATATATATATACATATATATATATTAACTTTGCAATATGCTTTACCCTGCATTTTCCAGCCCTGCTTAGCTACCATTGCTTCCCAACGGTCATTCGGCCCATTAGCATGTCAACAGGGTTGTTGCTTCGGCCCATTCTCATCGGCCTTTGTTCTCCTTTTTCTTTTTTTCATGAAAATTAATATTTCGGACTTAGTTGTTGGTCTCACTCACATATCTCTTATTCAATATTCTTCGAATTCGAAATATCATGGCTCTTACCAAATTTTCATTCAAAAACCGAAAAAAATAATGTACCTATAATGCAGCGTGTAAAAGTTGTTTCAATCGCGTAGAGTTGTCCCTTAGTGCTCATACCATAACTGCTCTATAATTTTATCTTCCATAATTCCATCTACCACAGCCGGCATTCTTAAATGTGTAGATCATAAAAACCCTATTTGGGAAACTATTGCTCTATCCCAATGACTTTGCATTCAAACTTTTAATGACCGAAGAAGAAAGACCATCTGACATGAATTGAAGAACTATAAATTAAATTAGAAATGAATTAGGGTTAGGCAATGTGGGGTTTGGATATATATATATTAGTACTTGATTGTTTAACACAAGTAAGCATTCACATGAATGTGTATTTATTAATTGATTATTGTTCCTTTATCTTAATTTTATCTACATACTATGTATATAGAGAGTTCACTTTTTGGTCATACATACCTAAGTATGTGACTGTTATTGATTGTATTAAAGATTGTTAGTGAAGTCACGCACCATGAGTTGGTGGGGGTTGAGTGACAGCAATGGCATAAAGCAATACCACATTTTGCAACTTGATGACTAAACCCTTATATATAACACTTTGTTTTATTTCATTTCAATTCCTATTCCAATTCCAATATTAAGCTCACACCTCACAAGACACAAACACACCCTTTCTCTCTCTCTATCTCTCTCTTTCATGGAAATGATTTCCATGTTACTATTGTATACCCTTCCTCTTTTCTACCTCCTCTTCTTGCTGTTGAAGTTTCTTCATCAAAAGAAGCACCAGTCCTGCTACATTTTGGACTATGAATGCTTCAAACCGAGCGACGATCGAAAGCTCAGCACCAAGTTTTGCGGCAAAATCATCAGGAGAAATCAAAACTTGGGTCTCAACGAGTACAAGTTCCTCTTGAAGGCCATTGTCAGCTCCGGCATCAGCGAGCAAACCTACGCGCCACGGAACATTCTCTCCGGACGAGAAGATTGTCCCACCATCGATGACAGTCTCTCCGAGATGGAAGAGTTCTTCCATGACAGCATTGACAAGCTACTGAAAAGATCAAAACTTTCTCCATCCGAAATCGACGTGTTAGTGGTGAACATATCCATGCTAGCTGCGGTCCCTTCCTTAGCTTCTAGGATCATTAACCATTACAAGATGAGAGACGACATTAAAGTCTATAATCTCACTGGGATGGGGTGCAGTGCGAGCCTTATTTCGATCAATGCCGTCCAAAACATTTTCAAAACACACAAAAATGTGTGCGCACTTGTTGTGACATCGGAGTCCTTGAGTCCCAATTGGTACACGGGCAACAATAGATCAATGATACTTGCAAATTGTCTGTTTAGGTCAGGTGGTTGCGCCATACTTTTGACAAACAAAGTGGCCTTAAAGAAGAAGGCCATGTTCAAGTTGAAGTGTCTAGTGCGTACACACCACGGAGCAAGAGATGAGTCCTACGGGTGCTGCATACAGACCGAGGACGAGCAAGGCCGGATAGGGTTTCACCTTGGGAAGACCCTTCCCAAGGCTGCAACTCGAGCCTGCATCGACAACCTCAAGGAGATCACACCAAAGATATTGCCGCTGAGGGAGCTGCTCCGCTTCGCCGTCGCATCATTCATACGAAAAATGAACAAAAACTCGTCCGCAAAGGGAGGGAGCACTCCGAGGCCGGTGATCAATTTCAAGACCGGGGTAGATCATTTCTGCCTGCATACAGGTGGGAAGGCGGTGATAGATGGCATCGGACAGAGCCTTTGCCTGAGTGAGTATGACCTAGAGCCGGCGAGGATGACGCTGCATCGATTCGGAAACACATCTGCAAGTAGTCTTTGGTATGTGTTGGGGTACATGGAGGCCAAGAAGAGGCTTAAAAAAGGTGATAAAATATTTATGATAAGTTTTGGTGCAGGTTTTAAGTGTAACAGTTGTATGTGGGAGGTGGTGAGGGACTTGGGTGACACAAATGTGTGGGAGGACTGCATTGAGAGCTACCCGCCACAAAACCTAGCAAACCCTTTCATGGAGACATATGGTTGGATCCAAAATGAGGATATAAGCACCTTCAAGATTCCAGATGAATATCTGTAAAAATTCAGTGAGAAAGGTGTTTAAGGTGATCATTATTTTTCTTTCGACAATCTCTCTTCTTCTTCATTGTGTTGATAGGTTTTATTAATTTTTATGTGTAAAATTACATGTTCTTGTTGTTGAATCCATGGGGTAGAGGGGATACACTGATTGTCCAATAAGGTATGCTGCTTCCAAGGAAATGAGAAGTTTGCATCTTATATATTTATATATAGGGCTTGTTTTTGTTTTTAGGATAGTGATTCTTAGACCTAATGATTTAACGGATGCGTCCGGGAGAGTATCCGATGGATGACTTGTAATTCCGTTAGATTATTAGGTCTAATTAGCATTGTCTGTTCTTTTAAAGTTTTATTTTTACCTATCTTTTCTTTTCTTTTAACAGTGATAATATTGTTATTGGCTTGCTTTAACTTTTGATCAGAAAGAAAGAAACATATTGTACAATCTCTCTCTCTCATTCTCTCTTGTCACAATTTGTGAAACTGACTTTGTACTGGTCCTTCTGTGTATCCCACCATTGCAATTAATGGTTTTTTGTGAAAAGGTTTAAAATGCGAATAGAGAATTTAATATCACAACTAGCCTCCGACAGTCTTCATAAAGGATGTGTGGTCGTACTTGCATGTTTGTTTTTAAGGCCAAATATTGTTGGAGATCTTGAGAAGCAGTGGTAGATATTGGATGCAAAAGACACATCATATAGTGTATTTCTTCAATAACAATGTACTATTTTAAAATAAGTACGTTCACTTATTTATAAAATTGTTGATAATGAAAAAATAAATATATTATATTTCATTGAATAAATACACTAATAATATGATACGTCTGGCCCACCCAATATCTATTAGTGCAGCAGGAGAAGTAGGTTGCAATTTGGCCAACCCCATCTGAGGATAACTCAATTTTCAAAGGTTTGGATCTTGGACAGTTTAAATATATATATATTAGCTGAATTTTTTTTAATCCCATTTGAAATTAGAATTTTACTAGTTTAAAAGAGTTGCTCAACCCGAACCCTATTTTATTTTGTGTTTTTTCGTAGACTAATGAAATATTGAGCCAAACGATGGATTACAGATATTGCTAATAGATGCATTCAAGGGAAACTCAACTAACTCTTTTGTTCCGTTGTACTATTTTTAAAATTTTAGAGTTATGGGAGGAGGTGACCCCATAGCCCACTCTATTTTACAGCCAAGAGTTAGAAGCATGAATACGAATATGGAATGCAGATGTGATACGTAACGAAAACTGTGATACGGTAAATTTTAAAAAGAAAATAATGTGTAACATGATATGAATGTGACAGGATATTGCAAAAAATAATTTCATATACAAAAAATTATATTTTCTTATTAATTTTTTTTAATATTATGAATCTAAATACAATTATTAATATAACATAAGAATTGATTTCACAATACATAAAACAAATATTTCTAATCATCACTTAATAAATTTTAAATTTAGCTTAACAATTATACTATGTTATTATTTTTCAAACAGTTACATTTTAATATTCAAAACCTGTTAGAATGTGATATGAAATATTCAAGAATTATTAGATACTATTTGAAATATGTGACAAGAATATTATGGATACTTTAAAAAAGTATCAGACACGTATTCACGAGTATATAAAGAATATCAGTTTCTGACACGCATCTAAGATGAATATTTATTTTCATAAAAATATCTGTGCTTTCTAAGTTGAGAGTTTTAACAATTTCCCTAACTTAATTGACTTGAACTTAAAAGAAACTAATTTGTGCTTAGAGAATTAAGATATGAAAACAAATTAAGTCTTATTTTTGGAAATCCTGCTTCTCATACGTTGTATGCCGAAAGAAATTAATATGTACCATAAATTGGTTGGATTTTGATTCGGTATAAATCACTTTCCTATGTGTCATTTAATTTCTAGGAAAATGATATTTTGAATATGGACTTGTATATATTTGGAATATAATAAAGGTGAACTAATATATTTTTTGTTTGGGTTAATTTCACCTCCTTCTTGAGGTTGGTGCATATTTCATCTATATGAAAATTTAGTTTTTAACGACCACTTGCATCTCAATTAGTAACTTAATATTTCATTTACATTCCAAATATCAATTTTTGGTAGGGTCATAATATTTTTTTGAGGTATTAAATGACTACGTTACCCTTTAACCTCTGATTAACTATTTTTATGACCAAACTAGCCACGCTATACACCTTCCTCTTCTTCCTCCTCATTCTATCATCATCGTCCCAATTCACCGACCACCGCCACACAAACCCAACTCCTCAAAATTACACCCATATATATCTATATATATAATATAAAATAGCCAAACAGGGTCTTCTTCACAACCGAGCCATCCAGCCGAGCTCATCACCGGAGAACGGGTGCTGGTGTCGCCGCCGCCTACATCTCTTAAGATCGACGTCGGTTTAGAGGCGAATCGGAAAGTGTTGGGAGGTCGGCGGTTGAGAGCTTCTTCTTTCCCGTCGGTGCCGCGCCGCAAGGTCATGAAATTATGTCGTCGCCGCCACTGCCGCAGATCGATTTATTGATGACGATTTGGTAAACCCATGCCGCCACCTGCAAATCAAGACCGGCGGTCGTGTTGTGGGTTCTTGGCTTTCAATTTGGGGTTTGGATTTAGTGGTCGTGGTGGTGGTTGTCACTGGCGACGTCTCCGGCTGTAGTGGCGATGGCATGGGTGTGTTGGTGGTGGCGGTGTTAAGGAAACAAGGGTTTGTACGGGACGCACCCATTAGAGAAAGCTTCGATTGATCAATAATTAGAGACCGAAGGGCAGAGCTTCAACCCTCCAAGCTCAGCTCTGGTCCATCTTCGCTGCTGTGCTTCGCCGGATTATTACAGTACCATGTTCGCCGGAGTTTCATCAATCCGAACCTTGATCTAGGGTGTTTTTTTTCAAGAATCAACTGATTGCCTACAATTCAAGTCCTACGGTGTGCGATTGGGCAAACAGTGGTTGTGGTGGTGGGTGTTGTGGCGGCGGCGGCTGCAGTGGGTATTAATGACAGCTCGCCGCCGCCGCCGCCGCTCGTCGCCACCTTGTGTGTGTGGATATATATATATGTATGTATCTGTATATACATATATATGTGTGTATATATATACATACACGTGTGTATGTGTATGTTGGTGTTGGGGCCGATTGAGCACTGGTGGAACCAACACGGATTGGGAGCTGTCGGAATAGCCATGGCTCAGGATTGATTTGAAGCAACCGTGCCCACTCTGTATCTGGTTTTGCACAGAGATATGGGTCTTGGGGCTCGATGGTGATGTTGACGGTGACGGTGACGGTGACGGTGACGCAAGAGGATAAGAAGAGGAGGTTGGATCCAAGCTGACGGTGACGGTGACGGTGACGCAAGAGGAGAAGAAGAGGAGGTTGGATCCAAGAAAAATATATGGAAGTCAAAATTGTAAAAGGGTATTTATGTCATTTAAGATTTAAGATATTTTGTATTAAAAAATTGAAAGTAAAAGAATCCATTCCGTTTGAGGTTAAAAAACAAATTGGAATGTAAGTGGTCGTTAAAAATTAAATCTCTATCTAAGTGAAATATATGCCAACCCAGGAAATCTAAGTGGAATTAACACATGTATTTTTCATGCCTCATTAGGAATGGCTTAGCGGCTGATCGATCAAATCAAGCTTTCTTTAGGCCTCATTAGGAATGGCTTAGCTACTGATCGCTCAAATCAAGCTGTTTTTCATGCGTCATTAGGAATGGCTTAGCGACTGATTGATCAAATCAAGCTCAACCAAATCTATAAAACCTTCAACTTAAACCCATAGTTAACCAACCTTCAACCCACGCTATAGGAATAGATAGGGACAAGACTGAGTAGGGTGGAGACGGGTATCTATTCCTGTTGGATAAATCGTAATCCAGAAGATGAGTATCACTTATTCTTAAGACTTTGGGACATCATTGTCATTATCTAGTAGAGAACCCCATCTTGATCCCATTTAATCTCAATCCCATTTAATTTTCCCAACCTTTCGCTTAATTAATTTTCAATCTTAGCTGTTAATCGAGTCAGAAGGGAAAAAAAATTAATAATATTCACAAATGCATTCCATCACTCATATTTTCAACCTTAGCTATTAATCAAGAAAACAAATCACTTCTTGTTTCAGCTAATTTAAAACAGAAGGCTAGCTTAAGGTATATATTCATAATGTATTCTTGTACGTACAGGGCGAGCTGACCTTACAACCATCCAAGTTTTCAGACATTAGCCTCCATTTTTAACCAAAACCACTTAGCCATTACCATAAATATTCTAAATGGAACAGTGATTTATAACTAAAGATTCTAAAAACTAAAAATAAATTTATGTAACATGATAAACAACTTTACGAAATAAAATAATTCTTCAAAGACTTATGTGATGTTCGATAAAACTAAAAATTAAGTAGTGAAAATTGTAAGTATTTAATTTTAAGCGCTGAAATTTTAAGTGTTGAATGTATTAATTTGAAAATCTATTTAATATTGTCTTATAATATAAAAACCTGTTTAAAATTGTCTCTAACAATACAATAGTTGAAATCTGAATGTTGTACATATTATATTTTTGCCCACAATTATCTTTTACAGATAATATCGCTATATATATAATATAAACATACATATATACTTATGTATTTCACCAAAAAGAAATAATATATCAATTTGACAGTGCATATTAATGTCATATCATAAAAATACCAAAATCAAAACATAAAATGTGTGTAAAAATGGTATGTTGAAAATAATTCTATTCATGGAATAATTATTTTACCCTGATGGAATACAGTATCAATTCAATTTTGGCTTGACTGTTTTATCTATATTTGATTTATTGTCACGTTTGTTTGTATGACAGCATCTCCAACCGTTGTGTATGTGTGTGTATATATATATATGTATAAATCTAACGTGTGTTACACAAAAAAAAATTTGAATTATTTATTTTTTTAGCTCCAGCGGTTATTTTATACTTTTGTATAAAAATATATTCATTAATAACAACCAACCATATATCATGTCAGAACCCAAATAACTTTTACATACCTACTTAATATAGGGTTGATTCGTTAATCGAATGAGATAGAGGGATGAGAAATGAAATATACTGATGTGACGATGTAAAAAAGTTGTGTAAAATACACAACAATTTTACACATTGGTAATGTGATAGTCTATCTTAACAGAATGCTGTAGATAAAAATAATTTACACATTATACGTAGTAGTGTATATTTTACCCAAAAATGTATTTTAATAGACTGTTGAAGATGCTCTAAGAGATGATCAAAACTTAATGCGTTCTCATCCAACTATTACATGTAAAATCTACACTGTTGAGAGGTAAACTAATTAGCACAAAT